TTTTGTAAATTTGTATTAGGACAAAAAAGAAATTCAGAGAGTGCAGCGATTAGAGGTGAACTGGGCCGACATACAATTAGATCTAAAAGATTGACAAGAATCATTAAATATTGGTTGAGAATTATTAAATTGGATAGAGAGAGGCTGGTATATAATGCATATGTCGAACAGTTAAGATTTATAGATAATGACAGTGATTGTTGGGCAAGTTGCATTAGGTCTCTTCTGTTTCATTATGGATATGGGGAAGTCTGGATGAACCAAGGGGTGGGTGATGAAACGGCTTTCATTTATAATTTTAACAAATGATGCCAAGACATAGATGAACAAAATTGGTTTAGCAGTATAAATAATTCAAATAAATTGAAACAATATGTTAAATTCAAGTGTACTTTTGGAATTGAAGCGTATCTCTCAATGAATATAAAACCGTATTTTAAACTGTTAATGACATCTTTTCGTATATCAAATCATAACCTTGAAATTGAAAAGGGGCGTAAAAACAATGTTAATTATAAAAATAGACTTTGTATTTGCCAAGATGGTAGTATCGAAGATGAGATTCATTTTCTTTTGTTTTGCAAGTTATATACTGATTTAAGAAAAACATATCTCCAATCATATTATATTAATTTTCCAACAAATGAACAATTTTATCAAATTATGTCATCAAAAAACAGTAATATAATTAGAAAAGTATGTTTATTTATTTATCATGCATTTAAGAGAAAGGAAAACAAAGAAACACGGGTGTCACAGCACGCTTATTTAATTTGTAATAATTTTGTTTTACAAGGGGCCGGAGGCCTGGAGTTTGATGAATAAATTCCCTGTATGGGGAGCATGAATATAAAAAATAAATACACCAACTAAGTATTGTTTGTTTTCATTTTTTTATTAGCTCAAGTATGGCATGCAAGGTTGAGTGTTTTGCGCGAAATCCATATTGATGGTGTGAGTCCACAAATGTAAAAATCTACCACAACATTTGTGGTAGATTTTGACATGTTTATCACAAATGACAAATGACCACAAATGTAAAAACACTCTACCTGCAAGTGTCAAAATAACCGCAAATGTCATAACATGTCAACCACAAATGTAAAAATAACCACAAATGTAAAAATTTGTTTAACACAAATTTAGTAACATTTCACATACAAATGTAAAAATTTCCATTTTTACCTCAAATGTCACAACATGTCAACCGCACTTCCTTAGCACTTAAATCCTTAAAATATTCAAAGACCCTAATTAACTGCTATAGTAGAGCAGCTAAAGCACGAAGTTGCGCATTTAGACAGGGCCCATCAAAGGATAAACTGCCATTTTTTCCGGTCAAGGTTTTCTCGGCGGTAATATCATTCTGACCCCATTCTATTTGAAATAAACTTGGGGCAACACAGATTTTTACCTCAAATCCAAGACGGCCTCCAAAAACCAAAATGGCCACCATAATTAAAATTATTAGAGATATACAGCATATTTATTCGGTGTTGTCAACCTTTTTTAAGTGGAATTAGACCTCAGACATAAGCATTTCATTATCAATTAAGGGCCACCAAGAATCCAAAGCAAAGATGGTCGCCAAAATCCAAAATGGCCACCGAAAATCACAATTATTAGAGAAATGTAGCATATTATTCGGTTATGTCAATGTTTTTTTTCTAGTTGATTTGTCACCTGGTACATAAACCATTCAAGATCAATTGAGGGCCACCCAGAATTTGGCATCAATCCAAAATGGCCACCAAAATTCAAAATGGCCGCAAAAAAAAAAAAAAAATCCAGATTTGCAGTTATTTATTTGTTCCAAATGTCGATGTTTTTTTCAGGGGATTTGTCTTCTGGGACATAAGCCTTTCACGGTCAATCGAGGGCCACCCAGAATTTGGTCTTAAATCCAAGATGGCCGCCAAAATATAAAATGGCCGCCAGAATTAACTTAATTCGGTAAATTCTGCCTATTATTTTTCCCTGTTAACGTTTTTAGGAAGATTTTTCCTAAAACATGTACATTTGAAGTTAACTTTAAGGCAACTTAAACTTGACTTCATATCCAAGATGGCCGACAAATAAAAAAAAAGCGACAAAATTACCTATTAGTAAGATGTATACTGCCTGCAATTTCGTTTATTCTCATCTCACCTTGCCTATTGTTTCTAATCATGCTTGCATGAAATTCTCACTTTATACTATCTGGCTTTTTCTACCCTCACACACTCCACTGAGCAAGAACAGTGTTGTCCAAAAGCTCTGGATCTATTTCTGGCTGTTTACTTACAATCACTTTTTAACTGTTGCTTATCAAATTTGTATCTCTACTGAGATCCAGTCATGTTCCAAAAAATGGCTATGAATAATATAAAATATATTTATGTCACCGTAAACAGATGACTAGCCAAAATTACAGATTTACATAAACCTGATGTGCAAATGTCATCGTTAATGCTATTTTATACAAACATTTTAGGTGACTGGAGTGTTATGTGTATTTGCTTTTGCCTTCAGTACTTGGGGTGATGGTTGCAGCAGGGCACATCAGACAAGCAGTATTACAGTAGCATTAGT